GCTAAGTCAGGGGTTTTCAACCTGTGGGGCGCGCGGGGGGGCCAGCACCTGTCAAGGGGGGTGCGAGCATCGGTTAATTCAGAGACGTTCCCTTGAGAATTTATGAATATGAGTTAACAAATCTTTAGCCATCCACTAGGGGGCAATCTGACGCCCACTGCTAGTCGAAAGATAGAGCATAGTTGGCTCGAGTATCAGTCACGCTCAGTGTTGCCAAGTCCGCGGTTTTTGGATGCTGGGGGGCGCGAGTGAAATTAGACAGACTTGGGGGTCCCATCCAAAACTCATGCCATTGGTTGAGCTGGAAATTGGTATTTTGGTAGTTCACAGTTTGAATGGTTAGCATTTAAATTACACTATCTGGGCCCATAAAGCCTATTTTTCCATTGACAGACAATCAAAATCAGCTATGTATTCTATTAAAGGGGTCCTATTATGCTTTTTCACTTTTTAAATTTTAGTCAGTGTGTAGTGTGTATGTTTGGGCATAAAAAAGATCTAGAAAGTTAAAAATCTCAAAGTCCACTCCAAAGGGAAATCAATTCAATCAAATCAATAAAAAAATAAATTTTCAAGAACTACAGCAAACGGCTCGTTTGGACTACAGCGTTTGGTTTCCGGGCTTTATGATATCACAAAGCGGCTCATTAGAATTTCATTATAAAGAATTCCCGCCTACAGAAATTCGAATGGTTGGGGGGTGGGGAGGAGCGAGGTCGTGGTTAGAACGCTTGGTTGAGTGAGCGCATGAGACGAGACAACGAAGAAGAAGAGCTGTTGCACAGTTAGTGCCTCAGAGGAAACCAAGAAGAAGAGCTGCTGTGCTGTAGCCTCAAATTTCTGGCATGTCTAGAACAGCGGTTCTCATTTCCAGTCCTCGCGTACCCCCGCTCTGCACATTTTGTATGTTTCTCTTATTGCTTCATACGTTTGCTATATTTGACTGTAAGTGCCCTGCGAAGTGGACATTACCGGATATTCCGCCATGATTCCAGTTTTAAAGGGAGCGTATATGTTCCATACAAAGGGCATTTAAGTGTGCGAGACATGAATTTAAATTGTATTTATTTACAGAGGTATATTACGTCCCACTTCACGCTTCTCTAGTAAGTTTCATTTGTGTGTGAAGACGCTGCAGGCAGCGGCGCAGCGCAAATCTGTAAATTAATATTCCGAAGTGAAGTAAACTTCAATGGCTTTCCCCTGCTCAGGGAGTAGGGAGCAATGGACACTGTGTAGGGAGCATGTCAATCGGAACACAGTTCATGCACGGAGCTCACTTCTAACGAGATGATGATCTGAATCAGGTGTGTTAACAAAGAGAGACGTGCAAAACATGCAGAGCGGGGGTACCCGAGGACTGGGATTGAGAACTGCTGGTCTAGAACAATTCTTACAAATATAACACAACATAGCTGGGTGCCGCGGACAGACGCCGAACGGCGCTGCCGGTGTGCCTACACTCATACAAAATAATGTGTTCGAATTTTAAAGCCGTGGTCGCGACGCTGCGCTGCTCGTCCGGTGTGCGACCGCCTGAAACGCTGTTTTTTTTTTCACTTCCGAAAGCGGATGATGTCAGGAAACAGTGGTTG